TAACTTGGCCAATTCTCCATTAAAAATATCTGTATTCTCGTTGGTTTCTATACACCAACATAACTTAAGTTATTGTATATTTAGGCTACAATAAAATGTGACTGCAATGTTTTAAGTAGGTATTACAAAATGTTGATGACTGAGACACCTTAAAAAAAAACACGTAAACTTAGGCCTAGACTTCCGTAAATGTTGTCAAAAACAACCAAATAAAAATATTGATTGTTTTATTCAATAAATCGTTTGGTTGGTTAGGTTAGGTTAACCTAACTAACCAAACAACAGGGTACCTATATCAAATAAAATAATCAATAACTTAGCCTATTTTCATTCGGTGATTTTTGACAACAGAAAAGATACGAAAGTCTAATCAAGAAAACAATTACAAGTTAACTGTCACGTCTAGGCCAGTTATAGGCTATAAAAATGCTTCAGACAAGATGCCGACTCTCCAATCCCTGGGCAATAATTGTAAAGAGTGGCATTGTATAGCCTAGTAAATGGATACAAGCTATTTGTGGCTTTCCCAACACTAGGCATAAAAGGATATGATAGCAAATCTAGGCCTACTTGACCTAATTTGAAAAACTTATGCTAATAAATTTCACAATGGAAATTGACCTACCTTTCTTCTTACAAATATTCCAAAGATAGGCCTAAGCGACACCAGCAATATCTTAAGTAGATAATAGTTCCGATAATTCCTTAGAACCTATAATAGGTGGTTTAAGGGTACGCCTAGAAAAAATTAGAGAATTTCTTCTTCAGAAATTAGACCGTGTATGCCTAACAAGTTATAAGTTAGCACTAACACAATCGTCACAATCTAGCTTGAAAGTTATAAATTATTGCTTGGATTGTAATTTCAATTTCATCAACATTTGTAAAATAATCATCCGAATTGTCGGTGTTCTATATGGAATTAATCTGAACGTGCAACCAACCAAAGAGTGTTCAACGGAATGACATACCTAGAATGAAACGAAATGACAAACAACAAACCAACACACGACCCACACGACAGAACGAAACGAATAAACGAAAGCCAGGAGCGTCTGCGGCGAGAACGATAGTTAAACGAGAAGAGAGTAAGAAGAAATGTGTAGGCAAAAGGCAAAAGCTAGCATACAGCAAAATAGCAATTAACAAAGTAGCCGAACCGGTGGTAATACCGTAGATTAAAAACATTAGGAGCAATTATAGTAAAACTGTACTGGGGGATACAGAAGCATCAAAATAAACCATTCCAATCCAATAATATCCAAATGCATGTAACATGTTTAACGGAATAAAAATATTGATTATTGATTCTTGATTCATTGCTGAAGACATACCAAGAATTTGGTGTCATGGAACGGTTTTAGAAGTACAATGTTCTACAATAAATAAGATATAAAGACACTAACAGTGTGTGTGACATTTTTAATTATTCAGATTCACGAAAATTAAAAATATAAAACAGCCATAGATAAAACATACTTGTTTTATCTATGACATGGCGTACCATGGCCACCACACTCCACGGTGCACTCCAGGCACGGCCACCTTTAACTCCAGGCCGCGGCCTGGTAGAATTGGCAAAGTTTGCAAGTGGTGTTGTCTAGCGCTAGACTTCCCATAAGATAAGATGGCAGACAGGTGACACCATTTAATTAATTCGCGTATTATTCCTTTAAATTAAAAATTAAGAACATAAATTTATTAAAGGATTGAAAATAAAATATATAGAATCGAAAACCAAAACAATGTTTATATTGAAAATCTATTTTTGTTCATTAAATTGGAGTAAATATTTTCATAGCCCAGTAAACATGCTTTTGTATGCTTAAGCAAAACACAAATTACCATTAGCCACGTCCAAACAAACCAGCTGTTTAAAATCCCCCTACTAGCGATGTTGCCACTTCGAAGGCCATGGCCTGGAGTTGGTAGCCAGGACTCCAGGCCACGGCATTCGAAGTGGCAACACTGTCAGTTAGTTGCATCGATATATATCAAACATCGATGGTTCGTTGTAGCGCTGTTACAGCTGTTTTGTTTGGTGGTAGCTAATGCGTATTTTGTGCATTTTTACTTTGGATAGCGCTGGGTTCACAACGATATGGTAGGCATACGGTTAAGTATCGATCATCGTAGTATGAAAACAACTACTATCGAATATCGTAAATCGATTGGCTTCCATAGCGAGCGCCAACCAACCAACCAAAACGTGAACAAACGAGTTTAGCTGCTAACTCATGTTTTCCAATTTTTTATTTTATTTATAAAAATGTCATCGTATCAATGTTATTAGATTGTAAAAAAAACCAAACCAACCAACACCGACAGACAGAAGAGAGAGGACAGAGACAACAAAAACTACTAGCACTAGCCTAATAGAAGAGGAAAATATTTGATTTAATTATGTTATTTAATTTATTCCAACTTTGTTCCTTTTCATCAGTTTCATGGTGCCTGCAAAGCAAAAAAAACAAGGCATCTAAACGCTTTTAAAAGTAAGGGGGGGGCGGTAATTTATCTGGCGTTAATTGCGCAAGTTACTGGAATATTAATTTTAAAATTCCTCCGTAATTTAAGTTCTTATATATTCATCATTCTGGTTATTAGCCTTACTGTAATTGGATAATGAACATTTTCATTGGCAAATTTTATGCCAGGTTCAGATATTATGTTGTACTTATTTATTTGCATTCACTCTCAATGATTGTGAATTAAATTATGGCCTTCCGTCGTCAAGGCCACATTATGACGTTTGACGACAGACATGAGCTAGGACACAGATAATATAACCCCTTTTATCTGTGGCTAGGAGCAGCTGCAGCAGAAGGCATCAAGGCAATAGTTTACTTCTATCATGAGACAGCCGGTGAGCCAGAGCTGATTCGTAAAAGATTAACCCTTGCCGACAGACCGCCACCGCCCACCACCACCCACCACTGCTCGAGCGAACACCATTACCGCTACCGCAACGATACGTTGAACAGCCGTAGGTCGGTGGTCTCCCATGTAGCACAGATGGTTGGGCCAACGTTGGCCAACTGTGGGACAGTTGGTCGATGGTTGGTTGGAGCTTCCACAACCAACCAACCGTTGTCCAACTGTATATCTCGTAGTTGGGCCAACCAATATTTACAACTGTGGACCAACATTGGTTCATTGTTAATGAAATACATTAATATGCATTGCTGGGTATCATACATCAAGCCAACCGTTGTCCAACCGTTTTTCACTCCGTTGGACCAACAAATGATACTTTTGTTGGACCAACAATGGTCCATAGTTGAGTTTACACGACTTTCATTCTCTGGGTCTAGCTTTCACAACATAATTATAATAAAATATCTGGTTTTACAATACCTTTATCAGTTCCAAAAGTTTCCAAAAGTTTTTGGAACTGATAAAGGTATTGTAAAACCAGATATTTTATATATTACAGTTCCGGCGCTACAACAATGAATTTTAATAATTTTAATAATGCAAATATTTTTTAAATTAATATTCTTTAACTTATTTGCAACAATTTAAGGGGAAAGAGTAATTAATCATATAACAGGCAATTATAATAGCATTAACAATCTAACGGTAATTAATTAATCATTCAAATACCAGTATCCTCTCTAACTCCAAAAAAAAAACTACTTATGATGCCTTAACAGATTAACAGAATCATATTATACTGTGTAGTATCAAAAATGTTTGAAGTATTGCGACCATTGCAACTGTCGGCTACTCTTTCACCACTTGAAAACTCACTATATCAGCAATCACAGATAGCTCAGTGGTAAAGTAAGAGGCTCATAAGTCGAAGGACCCGGGTTCGAGACCCGTCTGGGCCAAAAAAATTTTGTTCTAGTTTTTTTTCAAAATTTGTTTTTATGAACTATTTAATCAATTTACTCAACTAATAATTATGCTTTTCGTACTAAATCTTTATTATTTTGTGTGAAATAAAACGGTTGGACAATGGTTGGCTGGAAAACAGTTTAAAGAGGTGACATTTCTACTGTTGGCCAACTGTGTGGCTCCACAATTTACCAACGTTGGCCCAACCATCTGTGCTACATGGGCTAGGTCTCGTCTAAAAAGTCGATGTCTGTGATCCGGTAGAAAACAAGCTCGATATTTAACCGAATGCCTACCATATCGTTGTGAACCCAGCGCTATCCTTTTACTTTCTCCCATCATAGTACATGGAGAAAGTATTGTTTTTCGTCAGCATTTTCGAGTTCGAGTTTTAAATGTATATACGAGTATTTTCGTTTTGGGTCCCCCTGGACCCAAAAAAGTGGTTTTGGAAGTGATGTCTGTGGGTTGGGTGAAATGTATACAGGACGGCAAGTATAGAGACGAAACCGCAGGCCCAGACTCTTGCGCTTACTGTACATACAAAAACCAGACTGTGTTCACCATTACCGACAATTGTATCAGAACTAAACTTAAGAATGTCTTGCCCTAAAGTGAAAACTAGTTGTCAAAATAGAGCTGCCAATTTAAATGTAAAAAAACAAAAAAATAATTTAAAACAATTATGGTTTGCCATATTATATAATTTATTCTAATTGAGGAACCTTCTTATTGAAAGAGGAAAACATTTATTTAATTCAATAACAATCATACTTGCTTCCTTCAACTTCAACTGACAATTAATTCACAATCTGGTGTTTCAGCCTCTACCAAACCCGATTTTATAGGTCTTTTTACGAATGATCACTATTATAGTTATGGTTCGATCACTATAGAAGTTATACATGATGTGATAAGTAAAATAAAATCCTGAATATTTTGAGTTGTTTTTGTCTCTGGATCACAGAACAAACTATAAAAGGTATAAAATTACCTGAGTACTGCCAGAATGAGCAGTACTCAGGTAATTTTATACCTTTTATAGAAAATCCTGAAGTAGAAAATTTCACAAATTGAGTTTTTAAGATCAATAATATATCACCATAAAATTAGAATAAATATAAAACGTTATCGTTGCGGGATGAATGTATAATAAATGGGAGTTTAGGTCAATTTATTTATCAAATACATCGTTTACACAGTTAAATATATATGTCAGGATACAACGAAAAAATATTTACAAGTTAAAATTTAATTTTAGAAAGCGAGTCCAGCCTCTCTGTAAGTAGTGAAGATCTTCTCTATTGAGTTGACGTAGGCAGCTGTTCTCAAATCTAGGCCCAAGTTGTACTTAGCAGCTGTTTTCATTATGGCCTGTAATTTGAAAATACAATATTAATTAGTACCTAGGTAGTGTGTGGTGTTCTATATGAAAGTATTTAAACGATTTTGAGAAAATGCAGCTCAAACCACTTAAAAGCAAAAGCTTTTGTGGATATGAAGAGGATTGAACCAACCAACCCTACCGACTCCCATCCACGTAACACATCCTCAAGACTGGGATTGGTTAACACTTTGTACTCTGTAAATTGTTTATTTATCTATCAGTGACTATCTTCTATATATAAAGCCAAAAGTACCCATGAACTTTTCAAAAAACTACAAAGTCACACCCTCCATAAACCATACTTAAAATGTTCGTCATGACGAAAAACCTTGCGCAAAACTATCCATTATTTCATTAATTGCCATTTAAGGTCGTAATTCCTTTCTAAAGGGAACTTTCCATATACCTAATGTAAAAAATACCTCAGCTGTACTTATTTGTTTGTTATTCTTTCAATTTATTACCCTATTAAAATCAGGTGTGATTATTTGTTTGTTTTACTGTATTTTGTTTATTTCAGGTTAACTTAACCAATCAATAGTTTAAGGCTCTTATTAATACTTATGAAGTCAAACGGGGTGAAGCTACCATCTTTTCTCAGGTTCATATCACAGTACGTACCATGGTTTGAAATAGAGGAATTTTACTAAAAATGGAAAATTTTAAGCACTTTATAGGTGTATTGAACTGTATTGCATTTGTCTAAGATTAGTTAAAGTTTTTCCTACTCAACACATTTACATGTTATTTTACTTATATTAAAAGTCACACAAAACAACCGTAGGTTTGTGTAATTTTTGTATTTGTCATATTTTTGTAATGAAGTCATAGCTGAAAAGTGACTCTGATGATGTGCTAAAAGCTTTTGGCCATTAATGGAATATTTAACAGAACAAGTAAACATCTCCCAAAGATAATCAGTGTAATGACGATAATGGTAGCCAGAAGAAAGGCTAAATTGTTCAATTTAGTGAACACCAGAACCCATTTCTCCAGGGATTGAGATAAAGTAAATAATAATGGCGAGTCGTTAGAGAGAAATGATTAACATTTGTCTTAACCTAGATCTGACGTCTTATGAATTCATGCAAACTTTTGTAAAAGCTACAGTTTATCATTGTTTCTTTCAAAGTAAACAAATCCTTTCCGTGAAACAAATTTTGATTGTGTAAATACCATACCAGTGTTAGTCTAGTATTATGTATTGTGAAAGTAACTAAAGGAACTTGAGTTATATTCATATACATCTGCGTAAATAGTTTTTTGGACCTTTTCCTCGTATATGTTAAATTTTTGATGCATATTTAAGTAGAGTCCAAGACATACAAGTTATTTAGAGAATGTTAATTGGTTCATTTGTATTTTTAAAAACAAGAGCTCTAGAAAAAGCAGAGACAAGTGTATGTAAGATAGTGGAGTTGAATAAAAACACGTTTACGGTAAGATAAAAATCAGGGGTGGTGGTGTGTTGTGTCTAATTTTAAATTTAATGAAAGATTAACTAAACTAAACTTTGATTTTAAATTAAAAAGAAATCTTAGTTTTTTAAGAAAAGTATTTTAAATGTAAGAAAACTACAATGCAATCAATACAAATTTAAATAGACTCTTGGATAAAATAAACAAAATAGTTGTCCGTCGAAGAAATACGATTGTGTAAAATATAGTTGTTTCAACTTTTTTTGGAGTTTAATGTAAAACTTTATACATCTCCTCCTAGATTTAATGCATTTACTTTTGAAAAGTTCATGGTTATAAAATACTACTTGGTTGAGATTACCAGAAAATAAAAACACAAGAAGAAGAATTTTTGGATGTTAATTACGAAAAATTATTTTAGGAATGCATTAGCTAACTAACAAAATTTAACATATTAACAAAGTTCCATGCTTCAGTTTAAGAACCTCATACATTGATCAAAATGTTGATAATTTAGTTTCCATTAACAATATTGTTCACAAAGTTTCAACCCAATATAGAAGTTCAGTGCATCACATACACCCATCAAGCACTCACTTTGGCAGATCGCTCCATAGTGTAGTCCAGACCGGAGTGGACAATGTCTTTTTCTGAAGCTCCGTGAATGCGCTTCTGGAAGGATTCTGAAGGCGTTACTGGAATGCGGCCTCCTACACTTCCGAACCTTCTCTCGAGAGATTCTTGCACAGACTCTGTAAAGTTAATGAGAACCTTTTTAGGTACGGAAGTAAATTTATAAAATTGGAGTATATTGCTGATTCAAACCCAACACTTACACTAATTAATTTGACGCACACTCAACAATTTCCTTCACAGCCCTGACTTTTTTTGTAATGCACGAGCCGGGTTTCAGCTTCTATATACGAATTCGTTTCCTACAACTGAAACATCAAATATTAAATAATAATGTTTACGTTCTAGGATTCTTATTATAGGAATGGGAAAAGGAATGCCAGAGGTCCAGGTTAAAGAGTAAACTATAATATATTCATAATCATATCATTCTTCAGGGCTTTGGAATAATCGAGCTTGCGATTTTGTCTAGGATGAGGATGAGTCAAAACTGGGACAACCATTTTGCATGTAGGTGGGTACAAATTGTAGCCAATATCAAACAGCTCTGATAACTAACTAATAATTAAATATTGAATGCCTTAGTTTGACTATTTAAAAAACGATGCCTTCTAAAAAATTATCATTCATGAGCTCAAAATTGAAAAAATGTGTTGCTATTGTAAAGAAACATTCTTATACAGACACTTTTTGTTGCAACAACATCTTCAAAGAGAGGAATTCACCTATGTGTTTTTCATTTAATTATATTTTGTGTGCATCTGATTTTATGTTTTTCACCTACCCAACAAATGGAAGTTGGAGTCTCGCTCATATTTAAAGGTTAGTCTTCCGTAAGAAACGTGGTTGAGATTCTTGAGCCATTCGAAGAAAGATACGGTGACACCTCCAGCATTGATGTACAGGTCAGGGATGACCAGGATGTTACGGTCGATGAGGATCTTGTCAGCAGCCGGGGTCGTGGGACCGTTGGCTGCCTCGGCGATGATCTAAACAATAGATTGGCATTGGTTGGACTAAAAAAGGGTTCAAGGAAAAGAGCATATTAAAGGCAGTAACACAATTTTTTAGACAGATATACTTCTGATGTATATTTTTGGATGTGCATTTATAAATTACAAGTAGTGTGACCGTGGTGTTTAATTGAGTGTATTTTATTTCTTACATCAGTTACAACATATTAGTTACAATAGAATGAAATAGTCAATAAATATCAATTTGTTACTGTTGTGGATAGCTTTGTTACTGACTAAAATCAGCTGTGTTTTAACCAAGACTACGGTATTTACTATAGTCCTCCCCACCCTAACTAGAGGCAGCCAAAGGCCGTACTAGATATACGGCGTGCGGCCTTGGGCTGCCTCAAGTTAGGGTGGCGAGGACTATAAACGCCAGAGGATTAAAAACAGCTGGGTCCACTTTCAAACTATCACAAAAGCTACTAGCCTTTCTCAAGATCAAAATAAATAAAGAAATACCAACGATTAATGTTCAGTTTATTTCCATAAAAATTATTGGTTTAGTTTGAGCATTTAGGTCTTTATAAGGAATATTATGTTTACCTTTATAAGAAAAGTTACTTGTACAAGTGATTGCTAAAGGTAAATTCAAATTCCCACGTGTTAGGTAATATTATTTGCTGCAGAGGTCAAACTAAACAATGATATGAGAGGAGTTTACAGAACTGAAGCTTTCAAAAGGAGATTACAGCCTGACCAAACTCTATTATTATCACAAATATTGAAAGTAATGCCAATCGGCATAAACTTTACAACACATTTATCAAAAGATCAGAATAAACTTAATGATAAATCTGTTAAGATAATATTTTGTGCTTTATAAATTTAGATTTGTCCATTTTCTAAAGAACTCTTACAGAAAATTAGGGGAAGGACAGCAGCATAAAATATCAACCATCAATAATTGAGATGGGGACGCCATCTAGGTGCATATTTCAACCCAAATATGAGTGTTACAGAATGATAAGTGTATAATGGAATGAGATGATCTGTATGGATTTTTATTGAATAAGATTAGCAGTTTTGTCACTATTAGGACCATTTATTAAAACGCAAAGGTATAGCTTACCTTAGCTTGAATTTTATCTGCGTTCTTAGACGTGATGACCTTTTCAACCGCAGCAGGAATAAATATATCACAAGGTTCGTACATCAGATTTTCTCCTTCGTATGGCTTTGCTTCTGGGAAACCATTGATTGTACCGTGGTCAAGCTTCCAGTCTTCCAGTTTCTAAGACAGTGACGGAAGTATAAAAAATATCAGCAGAGCCTTTGATTTCAGTGATGGTAATGTTTTGCGAACATCCCTCTCAATTTTATAAATAAATATACTTAGTATTTTGGCATCAAGACATGATAGGATAAGAAAGCTACGGCAACAGTTAAAATATATAAAAACTTTTAAAATACCATTTCCAAACAGAAGTAAATTGCAGCTGTCTGATTTGACTGTGAAACTAATGATACGGAAAATCTCAATTTTTTCAAAATATGTCTACATTACATTTAACGTCAACCCAAATTTTAAGATTGTATACCTAAATTATTAGGTGTGAGATGACCTGTGTAGCTTTGTTACCAAGACTTTGTTACTAAGATCAGCTGTTTCATTGGCCACGATCATTTAAGCCCAATAATCAGGCACAGCTGGGTCCAGTTTTCATCAAAAAGCACACCATTGTAAACTTACCTTGGGGTCAATTCCATCGGGGTTGAAGATGGTTCCATCCCACTCGATGACTCCAATGCACTTGGCCCCTACTCGATGGAGATATCTTGTAGTATGCAGCCCGACATTACCGAACCCCTGAAGTGATAAAATACATTTTTGTACATAAATAAATATGTTGGTCATATGTACTTTTGGATAACTATATTAAAACACAGAACAAGATTGGAAGAACTAGCCACGATGTGGAGTGTAGAAAGGCCTCCCATCAACACAATAGAGGAATACCTAGACATATAAGCAATTTTCTTAACATAAAGATAAAGAACACATTTTAGAATTTTTGTAGAAACTTTCTTGTGATGATTAGGCTACCATTATGAAGAAATGAATTGTGAAATCGTCCAAAATCTGTTTGTTGATAACTTGTTACCAATTAATAATCAGTTACGGCAATTACGAGAGTTGATTCAAACGCCCCTAGTTATTTCTATGAGGCCTTTTATTTGAATAATTCTAACGCTCATATAATTGAGTTATTCCATTTTATCGTCTTGATAGATTTTATCGTTGAACCAATAAGTTGCAACACAAAGCAGAGAAACCTTAAAGGAAAATGCTAAGAAAACAATTTGAATAGTCTATATAAACACTTTTACAGGTTTTCATATTTTAGTGCGTAGTTTTTCTTAAACTCGCAAGAAAATATTTCAACAACAAACTGTAGACAACAGAAACAAATGGGAGATTGCGCAATTATATGAACAACAAAGGACGTATTTTGCGATTGCCGCAAAGCCAACAATAATGTTAGAACATTAACAGAGAATGAGACAATTTGTCTTTGCCTCCTTCTTTTGTATGACATCTTGTCGGATCACAGTTTTCACTAAAAAGAATTTTTTTGTAAAAAAAAATAAAAACAAATAATTCAAATTTGTTTAAGTAGTACATCATTAGTTACTTAATTTTATTTTTACATTCATAATACAATGATTGTGACATTAATATTAGGACATTTTTAATGCACAGACTAGCTATTAACCTTTACAAGGAGACGTAAGCAATCATACCCATCATAATTTGTTTCTTCTATAATATCAGTCATAGTAAGTCATGAATGTAATAAAATCCAATAACTAATATGCTGTGCTATGTATTTTTTATTATTATGTTTTTGTTACAAAACAAAAAAGTATTTTTTTAATCCTTTGATTTTGACATGATGTCATATAAAAGAAGGAGGCACAGGCTAATGAATCTCATTCTGTGTTAATTTTTTAACATTATTGCTAGGTTTTACTGAAATCACAGAATACGCCTTTTCCTATTTTCTTTGTTGTTATTTTACTGTCCCGATTTCACATTTGTTTCTGTTAACCAAGTAAGCTTTAGCCGTAATATGTCTTGTGACTTAAGGAAGATACTATGTTATTGTTATTAGAACACCCCGCAAAGTTGTGTTCATACTAAACACATTTTGTTCTTTCATTCTCTGGCTGAAATTGTGCCATCTTCGTAAAATAGCTCATTTATGGTCTGATAGAATAAAAATGTGAACAATATTTATAGGATCACAAATCTAGACTAGAGTGAGCCCAGATAGTGTACTGCCCACTAAGACCCCCTGACTCCTGAAACACTTGGATACATTGTGACATTATGATAATTTTACTATCAATTGGACCAACACTGGAACGGTTATCAAGAGTTCCTGCCTTGTAGCTACTAACCCCTGCAACCCCTCAAGGTGTCCAGTTCTACAACTAAGTTAGAAAATATATGTGTGATCTTGATAGAAACTCAAGTACAGAGATTTAAATGTTCAAAAGGCGACTTAGGTCTCTCTAATGGTCACTACAGTCAGTTACCTGCACAATGAAGGTTTTTCCACCCCAGCCTGGAGTGGTTTTGATCATGCTCATGTAGCCAGCCTCCATGATAAAGTTCTGCAATCCGTGGAACACTCCACGCCCTGTGGCGGACACTCGTCCGTGGATACCTCCCTGGTTGATGGGCTTGCCGGTCACACAGGCATGGGCGTTGATATCCAAGTGACCTTGAAGTTGGAGAGTATCAAGGTTAAGTGACTTGAAGTGTGCACATCAATCAAATCAAATCAAAATCTCCTTTATTCATGAATGTACAAGTACAAAGAATAGAGTCAGTGAGTACTTATTGCCTATTCACAATATTGTAAATTGTAAAATTCCTCAAAGGAGTAAATTGCTTTTTCTACTAGGTATTTTTTTAGTTTAAAGTAAAATTTCCTACTATTACATTCATTTTTTATATCTTTTGGTAAAAAACTTATATATCTAAGGCCTCTATACACTGTGTTTTTTTTTTTATAAAATTCTAAATTATGTCTGTTTTGTATAACATATTGTGCATTTCTGGTATTATATCTATTACTGGTAGGCCTACTTAGTTCCAACTGTATTTTTGGTAAATGGTGCTGCTTAGTATATTTTATTGTCTCGTATATATAAATTCCAAACACTGTTAGGATTTCCAAATTAGAAAAATGATACTTTGCACTTTCAATCCAATTTAAACTTAGCATTAATCTAATAGCTTTCTTTTGTAACAGAAGTATTTGATTAAGGTTTGATTTTGAGGTCCCTCCGTACACACTAATTCCGTATGATATAAATGAATGTACAAAAGCATAATACACCAGTTTTAGAGTCGAAAGATCACAGACATAGGACATCCTTCGAAGAGCATACAAGCCTGATGAAATTTTGCCTACAACATGCTGGACATGAGAGTCCCAACTTAAATTGTTATCAATAATAATTCCTAAAAATTTTAAATCATTTACTTTATTAATTTTAGCATTAGTCTTTAAAATTGTCTCATTATTTTTATTTTTATTTGTACAGAAAGAAATGTAACTACTTTTATTTTCATTTAAAAGTATATGCTGCTAAAAAAGGAAAAGTAGGCCTAACACGTGGTTTTTTATAGAAAGGATAAGTGATCAGTAGTTTTTGTATAACATAACTTCTTGTAAATAGCAATTATAAGTGGTCTCTGGTTTATAAAAAGTAAGGATGAGTGGTCTTTGTTTGGTAAATAGACAGGATGAGTGATTTCTGGTTTGTAAATAACAAGGATAAGTGGCCTGTGGTTTAAAATAACAAGGATAAGTGGACTGTGTTTTATAAATAACAAAGATAAGTGGACTTCGTTACAAATTTTCAATAGCAGCATATCACTAAACATAAATAAATAAATAAATAAATAAAAAATAAAAAATCGGAATTAATTTGTATTCCAAACTTTCCATAAATTTCACATAATTAACAAGTTAAAATTAATTGTATGTGTCTCTTATGCAAGCATTTTGTTTACAATGGATAATATCAATATTGAATATTGAAACGTTGTACAAAAATAAAGGTTTCCTTCTACTGTACTTACCAATGGTCTTAGCGTACGTGTCAGCTATCCAGGACATCTCTCGCTCTCCCGTTCCCATGTCTGGAGCAGGGACGTCCACTCCCGGTCCTGAAGTAAAAGTAAAACTTATTCAGTATTAACTGTTAAGTTTATAAAACATTTGTCCACGTTTGATATTTTTGATTTTCATCGTAAAATTCAAACACGTCTAGTATCTTGGAATGGATACAATAAGTAAAAAAAAAAAAACTATAACTAAAAGTCGTTGTAAAATTTGGTTAAGCTATTTGAAATAACACTCTCGTCTTATTTTGTTTGTCTTACAGTATTTCTGCAAATACTTGATATTTTTGCAAGAAGAAAGCAGCATATAGTAGCATGTTTATACGTTTACTAAGAAAGACACCTCTAAACTATAATACGTCACAGTAAAGTATTACAAATGCATATATATTTTATGTACATGTTTGTCCGTGCAAAACTATAAATCTCTTTGGATGAAAAATAACTGAGGTTTATTCACGATGTATGCATATAGTGTTATTAATTATTTAATGATGATGTCCAAAAAATGGTCAACGTCAAACTGGAACAAGACCATTAGTATTTGGATCCATCTATATCCTTAGAGAAGAAGAGCAAATGTTTACGAATGCACACATAATTTTCTTCAATGTCAAGTATTTTTAAGGTTATAATTAAGTATAATTTCACTCATAAAACAAAAGTAAACCAACAATTTATCTTATGGTCAGTGGTTGTTGAGTGAAGCACCAAATACCTAATACGATGCTAATGTAAACACAAGTCAAGGTATGGAGGTTATGAAGGTGGTTTGGAGTTGATCGCTATGTATGAGGGGATCTCCAGTTATTGGATCATTAGAGATGACAAGATATGCCTTCGTGCAGAGCCTTGAACATCACATAGAGCCTCAATAACTACACTGATATGTTGACTTACTCTCTGCATATAAATTAATAATTGGTAGTATGTACTTACTGTATTTGCGTATGGGTATTTACAGATTTTTAATCAAATTTTCTACACTTACATGACTATTTGTAACTAGTTTTGGTTTGAACGAGTTATTAGATTGTTATTCATTTTATATAATCTATAAAAACAAAGGTTTGGACAGGAAATAAATCCATTTAACAAAACTTAGAAGCGTATTAAAAAAAAATCTTTTGGCAATTTCGCAAAAAATTAAAACATGTGTGATTAATGAATTACTTTAGATTATTGTGTTTGTAGGCAATCATGGAATACATTTTCGCTAAGCCATGTTGTATTTAATTCATATGCATTGTAAAATATGGTATTACCATTAACACAGAAAAATGTTATAACCATCACGAGTAGTCAGTGTGACATCAGAAAACTATTACTGAGAAAATTATACACATAAGTTACTTTTTAGTCGAGTTTTTATTTCTTAACCAATTACTTGTCCACCAATTACTTGTCCATATTGGATCCGTTAAAAAGCTGCCTTTGTTTGTATTTAAGTATGGCAAACTTATCACACAGAAAGATAATCTTTGACTTATTATGAGTCTGCAAGGATGCAAGAAAGGAAAGATAAATCTCACGTGAATACTGATGAACATAAAGTCTTGTGATATTTAAATTGTTGTTATAGACAATTAAATTTCAATTTCTTAGTAAAAAAAAAACGAATTTGTTTTGAATACTGAAGTAGAAATCCCATCTACTGCATCGGCTGTAGTCAATTCTTTGTAAAATAGAACATGGTTGAAAGAGTCACTCACAAAATAGTGTTACCTACATTTTCTCCATTACTCGATACTATGATAGTGATTCGACATAAAAGATTCTATAGTATCCAATATGATGTCCTTTCGGTATTTGATGAAAAAGTTTGCGTATCTGACATTATTCATTGACATCAGGAAACTTTGTTGGTGAGTAAATTCAAATATGTAAATTTTTATTCTAAAACTGCCTACAGCTTTATCATCCTGGAATTTCAACTGTTATCCAAAGTCACTGGTTCTACTCACCAATAAAGCCTTTCTTGGCCAGTTCTAGAGTAAACCTCCTGGTGATCTTCTCCAGCTCGTGCTCGCTGTAGGTCTTTGGGTTGATCTTGATGCCCGCCTTGGCGCCACCGAAGGGCACGTCCACACAGGCGCACTTGAATGTCATCAGCGCTGACAAAGCCTTCACCTCGTCACGTGACACGTCCAGTGAGAAACGGATACCTGCAAGAGGAAACAGTGTTAAAAATACGTTATTGATTATATAAGAAATCCCACAAAAGCTAAAATCACCTGAAATAACCTTGTCAGAACCTAAAACCTTGTAGAGGATGTTTGAGAGAATTGCCGTGATTGAAAATACAAAAGGATAATATGCTTTCTCAATAGCAAATGCTACAAACGCTATGTCTCGTAAAAACGTCTCGGAGAGGTACATAAAAGGATAAGTGTCATTAAAGCAGCTTTTCTCTGTACATATGAAAAGGGAAGCTGTGGAAGAGGCATTTATTTTAAAATGTAAGATGACATCACCGGAGCTGATAATGCCTTCAGCTTGTTCCTAAACATTCTGTCAACATCTAAAACATGGAAGAGGGATGAGTTGAAAAATAGCTAAGATAAATAAAAAGGATAAAATATTAAAATGATAAAATTATAAAGATACTGTATAGTTAAAATGCTGTATGTGCCTATTCAGCAAAAGTCTTCAGATGTTGCCTATGGAAATAGCTAGTCAGACTACTAAAAACTACTAAAAAACGAATCAATTACATTAGTCAAAAACAAATTTGTGCCAGAAAAACTCAGGGATTTAGGAGGTAATTCAGCTAGCAACCGTAAGGTGGCGAATTTCTCAGGAAGGAATCATGTCTTCAGTTTCTTCTTGGCTAATTTTATTAATTCTTTTTTTTTGTGTGTGTGATGATGTGGAGTAGTATGAGTGTAAATGAAGATACCTGGGCCCTATATATCTTCCTCTAACCACTACCAAATCACGCACATTTCCTGTCGTAACCCAACTCTATTGCAAGGAATAAATCTAACTCGTCAAAGTGCACAATATTACCTTAGCTGCCTATCACAGCCAGAATTATGTTCTTTAATGTATCTAATTATAGTATAGTGAACAGAGAAATTTATATATATATATATGGACTTATTCTAATTCGTGAAAAAGGTAACTAGATTTAGCAAATGTGAATTCTAAATTGGTGATATTGATTGCCAGACCACGACCATTCGAGAACCTAATAAATTACATAATTTAATTACTATATACCCTAACCTACACCCTTCCCCAACCCCTACGAAACTATCTACACATTATCTTAATACTATTACTTATCCGGACTAAGAACTGCTGTTGGCGGAGGCGGAGACACTACTACGACTCTCATGGCTCGCCGCGCGTGCTTGCCGGCGCATTGGCGTCACGTGACTTGCGCTATTGTAGCGATTCGCTACATGTGCCCTATATTATAACTTTGTTATCTATTTTAAATATTCCCCATTCAGTCAACACTAAACGCCCACGATCAAGATATAATCTTAGAACTGTTCTAGACACATTTCAAAAGATATTTTAATCAAGAGAATTTGTTAAACTCTTTTTCAAATTATCATTATCTTTTACGCAAAGAACACTCATACACTAAATCAATGGCCAAATACGTGGTTGATACAATGTTTTATTACAGAAACATTCCATAGAACAAATCTTTGAATCACTAAAAACATTTCATGCTACAAAACAACGACGTGATTAAAACTTTATAGCGGCAAATCTGGAGCGATATAATCACTATCTAATGGAAGTGAAAATCAACAATCCCGCGAGAAGTTGGTAACAGTTTGCGGAGCAAAGTTTCTCTCCTTTACCTCAGACAGTAATGTAATGATGTATCTTGATTGTACTTTGAGAATCCATTTCTCGTCAACAACATTTTCAATTCATATTTCTTCCTCGTTATCATTTGTCTCAGGATGATCTCTGCTGACAAATCACCATAATCACGGTTTGTCCTTGTTTTCATGAGGAAAGATATTATTTTGAGACTTGAACTTTTTGTAGTAGTAACTATTTGCAACAACAATTTTTTAACTAATTTTCGGGGATGGTTAGTTTTTGTTATTTATTAGATATTTTTATGGAAATTTTTCATCATAATCAAAAAAGGTTTTCATGACGTTTCGGGATCTAAAATTTGACCCCTTCCTCAGGACCAGTCTTTGAGACTAGTTGAGATGTCGGGAGCGAGAACGGCGAACCTTATGTTTTTGTTAGGTAGCCCACTTCATATGAGGACGAAACAGGTTCCGAATCCTTAAACATCCTTGAAACTAGTTTTTTACTAATTTTGATGGAAAATGTCTGTAATAATCCCTGAATAAAAGTAATTTAAAGACATGATTTTTACTGTTAACAATAATCATTTTATAAACCTAAAAATAAATGAAATTATAATAGTTTCGGCTGGTAAGAAGAGTTATTTACTGAAGAAACATGTTGTGTTTTTATGTTGTATTGAACTAATTACTTGATTTTACTCAAACATGTTTTTTAGGTTTATTTTAATTTTGTATTTTTTAAATAGTTATTGGTTTCAAGTATTTATGCATTGATGACCCTACTTTTGAAACTCTTCAATTACCTTTGTTTATTTTTATCTCTATTACAGACTGTCCCGCTTTGTAACACGTTTTTTGTTCAAAACAATCTGAGTCCATCACTTTGGAGAAATATAGGTAGACCGTTCAAAGGTTCAACATTTTAAATTAAAATAATTCTTTGGGGTTTTAAGTCTTTAATAATATTACTGAAATGAGATCATGCATAAGTAATGGATATTGAATCAATTTATGAACTACAAGGAAAAAAACTGATGAAATTAAATTTGCCCTAAACATTATTGACTGGATTCCATGCATTATGTCACGGATCGAGTGCTTGCTTCACGTCTACTGTAGTTATGGATAGTCAGTGATTGCCAAAGAAGAAGAGTAGTCTTATTTATGATCACTGATCATTTTATGATAATAAAAAAAATATTAACTTCCTAAATGATATAAAAAATAGACATATTTTCAACAAATAGTTGGTAAAAAAATACAAGTTATAACATGATTATTCTTTATTTATTATCAATATCACATTTTGGAAATAAGTGACGATTTAAATTGTTTATACTTGCTAAACAATTTGGAAGTGCTGTTGTTTGGAAGTTTAACTGATTTGTCAGTTGCTGTAATGTGAAAAATATTTTTTGACTATGTAGCCTACAAAATGAAGAAAAACAATTTAAATTAATTGAATGATAACACCAGTGGTTTAATATACGAAATCAATTAAATTTTCATAAATTATTCCAGGGAAGGTATAATGTTAAATTTCTTTTCCACAATTTAAAAATTATGAGTTATTAATTAAGTGTTATTATTTCTACCATTACCGTTGTATTTCATTATAGTTATTTTATGTTATTTCCTCATAGTTTTCTATGTAATAACTATGTGCACTTCAATGATAGTGCAGATTACCGACACACACTGTGTATTATAATATTAAAATGTAAGACTCTAAAAAATCTTGTACATTTTTAAGGAGGATTAAATGGTTTTTGTGTTGTCAAAATAAATTATTCAGATTATAGAATTATTAGATTTGATAGAATAACAGATATTTAATCAGGATGAGGAAGAAAAAAATTAAAACATAAAACCAACATTAAAGAGAATGTTGATGAAAAAACTAATATAAAAGAATCTAAATGGAGTGAATAAAGAGAGGGATAATATATTGTGACAGACTGAGTGTAACTTTAAAGTAAACTGTTAATGTTTTCCGAGTTTCACATTTCACAATGCTGGATGAGATAAAGCGCCAAGTAAATATCTAAGTAGATTTCACCGGTACATTCCCTTCTCATCTACTTGACGCCGAATAATGAAACTCATCCAAAGTCTACTTAGTCTTTGTTATTTCCAAATTTATCACGAGTGTAGAATTTAAGCAAATTGAGCTTTTCCATTTATAAACTTTCTTTAAAAGTACAAAAAAACATATTTTGTGAATTACAATTTTGCTAATTATTTATTTATGTGATTTATATGTATATATATAAATGAATACCTGCATTCCGTGTGTATTTTATTATGTTGTCAACAATATGCCTCTATGAATCAGATCCTATAATTGATAGAATAGTGTACAATGTATTCTATTTAATAAATCACTAACAGTTAAAAAGAAATCAACAATTTAAGTTGGGTGATTCAAATTTTGTACTGTAAAAAACCAAAATGACATTACAAACTTATAAAAATGGACTGTCTAACCTGTTTTACTCAGGCGGAGAAAGAGGTGAACATTCCTAACTAAGTAGTACAATTTTTGCAAAGATGTAAAAAAACAGTAAGAATCCAAAAACATAGACAGACTTAACAGCTGAACATTCTAAAGAAAAGTTTGTTATACAATGGTTATACTTGTCTTATATAATCAACTAATTTTGAAAAACCTTCAAAATATAGACACATCATCATAAGGGGTTTTTGAAAATACAGTATGTTAAAAATTTATCATGGTCGGTTTAGATCAAGGAATTCATATTTCATGGAATCATAAAAGCTGCAGGTAAGATTATGTCGATTTTATGACTTTATTCTAACAGAGAATTTATTCTTTGCACAACTTTATTAATCAATCAAAGATTTTGAGTAGCGATATTATTAAGTGAAAGTAAAGTTATAGTTTTGATTTTGGATATATTTAGTTACAAACTTTAAAATTTGTATTAATGTTTTAAAATTATGTAGAGTTACAGTACACAAACACTCCAATCATGATCTCCGGGCAAAGTTAGAAACAATATTTTCTGGTCAGATAAAAAGGTCCAATTTTGTTGGAACCCACAAAAACAGTTAATTTCCTGATAATATCCGGACCGCCAATAGAATATCTGCTGAGATATTTTGAAACACAGCATTTAAAATATATTTGATATTGGAAAGATTATTGTTTCTAGTTAAAATTAAAATCATACATTATACATTAAACTATTTCAAATGTCACATTGAAATAGTTTAGCTCAACCATTAGAAATAAATTTTGCATCCTACTGATTTTCCATTAACAATGGATGCAGTTAAACAGATTTAATTATTTTCCTTATTTCCCAATATAAACCTGTATTATCCAGAACTAACGATGTTGTCAGTCAATC